TTTTTTTCTTCTCTCTCTCTCTCTTGCCAATGTGTGGAATTTCAATGATGGAAAGGTCTTTCTGAGAGCAATATTTAAAATTCTCAGGAATTGACATATAGTATTGAGAATGAATTTAGTTTCAATCAAGTTTACATTAAATGTTGGTTTTAAAAATCTAAATCATTCTTTACACTGCAAAGAATACAGACCACATGGGATAACTTATGAGATGGACTGCTTTGCTGATCATTTCGGATGTCACTGTAAATAAAGGTTTCTATTTAAAATTGAAGCCCAAGGGCTTGTCTCCTTGTTTCTTTTTAAAGTCTCTATTCGATTCAAGGGGAAAAGAGAAGGTTAAAGAATCCTGTTTCAAATAATCGTAGCAGTCTCTCTAAGGTTAACAGAACTCTTGAGAAGCATGGAGCTGCCCTTCTCAAAGGTGAGCACTTCGGGGTCATTTCCACTGTCTGGTGAGAAGTATGTCACATTGGGTGGTGGCTGAAGAGGGTCCTCCTGTTTCTCGCCCCTGGCCTCTGACCGCTACCTTCTCCAGGCTACACTAGCTGGTGCACAGAGAGGGGTTGGTTAGGGTGAATGGCTTTGCCGTCGATTAACATTTTTTAAAGAATGAGGTCCTAAAGCCAGTGTAATGCGACACTTACCTGTGAGGTCCCTGAAGTAGGGTCGATTGTCATTAATTTACGCCCATCTATTCCCCCTCTAAGAAACCCAAGGTGTCTCCTTTGAAAAAGGTGTTGACCGGTAGTATCTTGAATGCTTTTTTTAAAAAAACCAAACACACCAAAAAACTCCCAAGAACGGCCTTTTACAAAATGTCAAAGGTTACCTCATACCAACTGCTGGTCGTTGGCTGGGATTTTGAACATTGTATGACAATACTTAGACTACAAAATGTCTTTACAAACACAATTTTGTGAAAACCGGGGGCATACATCGACTTCACTTCTTTTCAGTACTTTGAAAAACATCAGTTCTGGGACAGATAACAAAGAAATACTAGGAGAAACGGTATCTGGTCGGGAACAGAAATGTCCACAATGGCCGAGGGGTTTTCTTCACTGGCCGCAGAGCGTTTATTGACAGCACAACTCTGGAAAATTGCGTTTTCTTACTAGGTTCCCCTAAGAGTTCCCACGCTGGTGGCATGTAAATAGTCACATATGTACAGCGAAGTCCGTTTCTTCAGAGGCGACCTGGGTTGTGGTGCTAAATAAAAGTCCCTTCTTCTGTGCTGTTGACTGGGCCGTCAGCTCTGCACCACTCCCAGCGTCTGCAGGTTGCTCCCGTCCTGCTTTCTTTGTCTTCGTCCTTCTTTGTGACAAACTAAAAGAGGAGGAGGGTTTAAAACAGGGTTTTTCTTCCCCCATGATTTAAAGAAACAAAAACAAGAAAAAAAAAACTCCAGTGACTTTCACCGTTGGGGGAAGTTTCCAAGAAAATCTCTTTTTCCCTCGTCAGCCTCTCAGAGAGGGTTAGTGGTGACCGTTTGATATGAAAATGCATTTTGTGCAGCTGGTGAGGTATAATCCAAAGCAAAAGCAGGGCAAAAATGGGCTTCCTGAAGTTAGCTACTCCCGACAGTTCTGTTCCAGAGTGTGCCGTGTTGACTGAAAGCAAGTTCTGTGAGCGCAGGCGGCCCGGCCAACGGCGCAGGCCCGTCTGAGACTGTCCGCGGTTTCATCGTCTGTACGATCAGGTGGTGCCTCTGGTTTGGAGGCCCTCGTGTGCTTCTTAACCTTCCCAGCCTTCCCACAGCTGTCCCCTGTAGAACAAAGCAAACTCCTCTTAGCGTCTGATTAAGAAGCCCAGAGGCAGCATGACACAACGATCAGCCCTGAAGCCTAGAACCCTCTGCTTCAAGGATGCGGCTGCGGGGAGGACCCTTCGAGACCCCTCAGAATGGGCTTGCTCCCACCCGGTCATCCAGACTTTTGGCTCTGGGCTCACACGCTGGTAAAGGCACTGAGGACGTTCAGATGTAGACCTGGCAAATGCTTAGCTGGCCTGTCGTCCTATTAAAGCTACGGAGGGGGGTTTATATGCATATAAAGGAAGAAGGAAAAAACAGACCAGAAGTTGCAAATGGCAGTGCACCAAGGGGGTCTGTTTGCCTGCCTGGCAACTTAACATCAAATAAATTGCCAATGTTAACAAAAAATCCTGACCCATAACTGCGTTTTTGGATTTTCATGATGAATTAGAGGGTTCAAGCCGCCTCCCATCGGTGCTGCTCCCCTTAGACTAGAGGTGACCTTTCTAGGCTGCCAGTCTCGGCCTTCTATCAGCCTCTCTGGCGCTGGAGAGAGCTGTCGTGGTCTGGATATTTCAGGTGCCCTCTAGTGAGGCTGCCCTGCTGCTGACATGGACCAGGGGACCCTTCTGCAGCCACAGCCTTGAAGACGTCGGGCACGTCGGACATTTAAATGCTTCTCGACCTGTACGGACTCCCTGGAGTTTACCAAGCACAAGTTACTCTATGGAGAACAACAGTGTATGAAACACGGTACTAATCTGAAACACAGGAAGACTTCCTGCTCCCTTCTCATGACAGCAGCAGAGGGTTACGAAAGAAATGGCATGCACCCAGAACGTGGCCCGGCAGACCAGCTCTCCACCGCTAAACTGGTTCCTCAACTCACAGCGATTTGGAAGAAGGTCTCTTCATTTCTGGCCACTTTCGACGCTGAAACTGCCTGTGTTTTTGGGTGTCAAAAGGAGAATGGGTGTTAGCCTCACCTAGGAAGAGCCAGTTCCCCCTTCCTGGTGGGCAAACCAGGCCCCTGGCAGACCAGAGACAGGGCAGGGCCTCGGCCGCACATGAGCCACAGAGGTTAGACCAGAGACGGGCCAGGATCGACGGGCCAGGATCGGGGAGCCGTCCCAGGCGATAACAACAAAAACTGATACCTGTATTGTTCGTAGCTTCCGCCATCTTTAAGTCCTGAATGAGACAGAAATGAGCGAAACAGAAACATTAGGGCAAAGGTGGCACAAGCAATGACAAACTTTGTAACTGCCTCTTTTTAAAAACATTTTAGGCTTTTTGACGGCTAGTTTTTTTTCTGATGTGGGTAGCGGCCCTCCGGCAGAGTGGCTGAATCCTGACGTGAGCTTACCCAGAAACTTGTCGATTGCCTGTACTCTAATGTCCTAGCAGCTTTAGGACCCTCATGTATCTATTCATGACCTGGGTCACGGTGGGGGAGGCAGGTATGGGCACGGACAGCTGTGTGACAGGGGACAGAAGGCCATGGGCCTGAGAGAGGGGATGGTGGGGAGAGCCTGGGTCTTGGCGCTCAGCGAGGTTCCTGGAGAATGAGCAGCGTGACCAGGTGTGTGGGTTTGGAATCAGTCGGCCTGGTCACTTTAACGGTGATGAGATAACGACCATACGACACCTAGCCCAGTGACTGGCACATGGCGATAAACGAGCGATCGGGCTTCTCGTAAATGCGGCCCTTGGTTGGTGGACCTTACTGATTCGTCAGCTGCTGGGGAAGATTCACCAGGTCCTGGTGATGCCAGGCTCACCCATCAGACTAGACGTGACCTCCTACCTCCCCACCCCGCGGCAGCCCCGCTCCCTACGGGCCCCCGCTGCGGAGCGCCTGCTCACCCAGGTCCATGTTTCGAGTCCGGGGGTTACACTGCTTGTAACCCTTGCAGCTCCGCAGCTCCATGAGCTGCACGTGCAGCTGGTTGAGGACGTCCCTGTCCAGCGTGTTCACCGCGTTCATCAACTGGTCGGAACGAAAGGTCATCAACATGGTGAGTGCAGGGATCCCCTCGGCTTCCGCCAACCGGGGGACTTCCCTCGGGCGGCGGGGGGAGTGGAGGTGTGCTGGGATGGTGACCTTTATCCTGCAAGGGCTGGAGTTGGGCACAGTCCGGACTGCCTTGTGCCTGCAGCCCCTCCAGGCGCTCTCCACCCGCCATGTGCTTCACTTTCCTGACCAGTGGCTCCAGGAGCTCACGGTTGCCCTGTGGCTCTAGACCTTCATTCACTGCCCCCCCCCCCCCCCCCCCCCCCCCCCGCCCCGCCCCTCTCCTCTTGACTGCAGAGTGGCCACTTGGTGATGGGAGGGGGAGGGGGCCTGGGTCCTTGCCTCATCTGGGAGCTACTGGTGAGGGACCTGCCGTGCTTTGACACCCCCTTTGTAAAACATGGGCACGACCCACCTAAGGAGAAAGACCGGGAGCCTGTATGGTAGTGACAACAAAGAACAAGAGCGAGGAGTTGCTGGCATTTAAAAATCAGGTTCCCTATAAAGCGACTGCAGGCTTTTCTTGAAACACAGATCGGACGGTACCGAGGCCACACTAGTGTGAAGGGCCCCGTGGGGACCGTGTGGTTCAGAAGGGACACGTGCAGTCCACTCGCCAGAGGCTTGTGGCTCCTTTTGTCTTACATGTTCTGGGCCACTTTGGTCACAGACGTGTTCCGATGATTAAATACACGGAAACACTTAAGACGGTGCCCGTGAGTGCTGGCTGTGTCCCGTTATCCATGTGGTCCCTGCAGGCGCCCAAGTGTGCAGGGTTTGGTCTGATCCTAGGGGCCCTCAAGGCCCTCCAGTTCTAGGGGTCTTCGACATAAAGTCTGTGTCATCACCCCCAGGTGCCTAAGTTAGAGGGGGAGGCTGTATAGGACCCAGATTACAGGGGCAGCAAGATGGAGGGAGAGGGCCCCAGTGTGCATCCAGTCCCTTCAGAACTCACTTCTGCCTCAGGGACTCCGTGGGACTTGAAGATTCACCGTCACTTCCTCAGGGGGCTCAGCCCTGCAGCACCTGTGTGGCCCACGCCCCCCACGTCTCCAGCCTGTGAGGTCTGTACCTGGTAGGGGTCTGTGTTGAGATCGAAGTACTCAAGGAAGCCGGTTGCGAATTCGCAGAAGAGGAAATTGTGGGTCTCGTTGATGGTCCGCATGCACCAGTAGGTGTTGTTGTTGGCGCTGGTACAGGCACAGAAGGGCCCCACTGCCAAGGGAAGGGACAGCGAGCCCAGAATGAGCAATTCCCGCCTGGGACGGGCTCCCTCCCCGGGCCTCTTTCTGTCTGGATCTGGAGCCGCTGCTGTCAGGGAACCCGCCCCCGAGATGCTCCGGGTTGGGGGCCAGCGGTCCCCATCCTGCCCGCGCCCGCCCGCCTGCCCGCTGGCTCACGTGTCCAGAGCGGTGCCGTCTGCCAGTGCTGGTTGTCGTGCGTGAAGCACGTGAGGCCCGGCATGCTGCACGTGTCGTTGTTCTGCAGTCGCTTGAGCAGCTTGCGAAGTTTCTTCTTGCGCTTCTGCTCCCGCAGCAGCCACACCTTGTCCTTCTCCTGCAGACCCTTCCTAGGGGCACACAGGGCCACACCCCTCACACCTCCC